GTATCCTGGAGAATATCAGTAAGCAGTAATACTTTTTGTCAACATGCAATAATGCTTTTCTGAGCAAATGAAGACTTTTGCCCAGATCCAAAAATGTGCAAGTAGCATTGATGGTGTTTCTACTCATTGCACTGTGCAAAGCCCAGGCTTCAAAAACTATGGATATATTTGGGGTCATAATATCGGCGTTTTGATTCAAAAATCGGAAATCAAATAGACTCGTTTCAGTTTTGATTTTTTAGCTTTTTAAAAGATTCATCAACTAAATGCAGTTTTGAACAACGTAATAACATTTCGAATTTTCAGTTTTTTCGTTTCGGTCCTTACATATAAGGCAAAACGCTATTAATTTTTTATGTAAAAATATGTGAATTGTTGATTTCGGAAATAATCAACACAAATTCAAACTGCTAATATAAGTGTTCGATCCGGTTTCGACTTGCCTTGAAACTTCATTCTATTTAGATCGAATTAAGACAAACTCAATTTCGCTTAAACTGAATGTTGACTCCAAGATATAAGTCAAAAGGAGTATGCATTACGTTTCAAAAACATGGAAAATATGGAGCATGTTTTTCTAAATTATAAGAGAAATCCTTTTTATAACATTCCTTTCTTTCATTTGGCAGGCAATAGATATGAAATCGATAGGCCAAATTTTTCCGTCAAATTCTCAATTTTGGATTTCGGTATTTGGTGTAAATTAGTCGTTTTAGTCTGTTTTGACTAGAGTAATGTTTAGAAAGTTGTTTGAAAAATATGGACTACTAAATGTCCCTTATTGTGATACATTTACCTGGATCTGAAAATATACGGGAAATACCCTCATAACAAAAAATACTTTTTTTTTAGTACTAAATTTAAACTTGAATCTAATAGTCCAAATACAAAATGCCAGTTACCATTAGACATTGTTCTTTTAGCGTTCATAAAAAAAAAAAACCATTAAAGACTAATAACGAAATATAAATAATACGACTAAGTATATATTACATTCCATTGGATTACAAATTATACCAAAATTACTCAAATTGTCAACTGTTTGTAACAAAGTCTTTTATGGATATGGCATCCTTTGATGAATAAAGCATTGCCATGATTGCTTTGCAAACTTGAACACCATGACCCAAGTGGTGAGGAAACCGTACATTACAACTGTTACGTCTTCTTGCAGATATTTAACAAAGAACCATTGAATATGAAATTTCTTCAACAGCTATCAACTAACTTCCATTTATTCCTAGATTTGGCAGCAGGAAAGATTTAAACAAGTTATACGGTTTTCTTGCCACCATGGTCACATGAATTGCAGGTGAAAGGCATCTTTACAAGTTGGCTAATTAATGAGTAATATCATACAAAATAAAATTCAAGAAGTAGCTGCACATTAATGAAGCCCAGAAAAAGCTTGCTTAATGAACCGAGCAATAGGTTATTTTCTTAAGACCTCGATCCAATCTTTTCCTTCCCTTCTTTTTCTCCATGCTAGCATCCCTATGGCTTTCGAGAAATAACTTTCAAAAACTCTTGTTCTAAAGCCAGTGTATGGAGGTTATTTAGCTCTCTTTGGCGCTTTTAGATTGGTTTCTAGCAGCTTATTTCACTTGCCTTGGCTGGCATTTCAATCTCTGGCTTTCTTTCTCTATCTGATTTTCCCCTTCTAATCCAATTCGCTGATAAACTCTTTTTCCTTCTTTGGTATGTAACATTTCGCAGTTCTTCTCAAAATTTTCCAATTCTTTTTGCAAGTGCTAACTCAACTTTCGCTATTCTGCCAACATAATTTCTTGTTGCTTCTTCATCATATTCTTCTACCAAATCACTCGACCTCATGAATCTAAGTCAAAACTTCCATCTCCAAAATCTTGGATCACATTGCCTTAGCGACTCACATATCCTGGGGAGACGCTGTAGTCCATCAAAAACTTGTTCCTTTACCTCAAAAAGAAACAGCCAGTAGTTTGCAATATAAGGAATCATTTGCATTGATGTCAATGAACTGTGAAGACAACCTTCGGATTTTGTGAAAATACTCAAAAAATATGGAAATAGACACTTCTTCCTCCATTCTTAACTGGACATCTTTCACTTCTTTTGGCCAGGTCCTATGTTCCAAATTTGTTATCCTCTTTAGCTCAACAGATTAGGCCATGCCCAACTTCCCATGGGTTTTCTGGAATATTGCAACATGTGTTTTTTTCTGCCTTTTAGCAGTGGCTAGTATTATTCCTTTCTTAACTGCAGTAAATGTTATAACTCAAACTCTTCCTTACCCCAAGCCATAAGCAGAAAGGCAGTTAAGGGTAATGAGAATTAAAATTCTTGGGTAGGTTATGAGGAAAATAGAAGGCTGTTTTATCCATTTCCGATCCTAGGCACCAAAAATGTCTGTGTGGAAATCTGTATCACTATAATAATAATCTGGGATAACATTGCGTTCTAGAAATAGTAGTATTATTTACGGGATAATTCATGTGTCTGTCAACTGTTTATTATGGAAGCATCTGGTTAATAAGTTCTTGTTTGGAACTTAATGTTAACCAATTGGCAGGTTATCTAAGTTGCAAAGCAACATATACAAGGTGTGTAAGCTTTTGCAGTTAGACAAGCATAGGATTAGCAAAACTAGCAATCATTAAATTCATTCACTCCATCTCCATTTTCATATGTAAATGTTTTTTAGAAAAGGTTAACACATTCCATATCCAAGTGTGTATTCACTTAGGCCAATTAAATCCTAAGGATATTTTTTTAAAGAGTTTTAAGGACCTATATTTATTGTTCCTCTTCCTTCCCTTTCCCCTTTCCCTAACCCCCAAAGAAAAATGTTTTACACAACCCTAGTGCAAATAGCTTAGCAGACCAATTCCAGTTCACCTTCAAGAAGGAATTGCATTGAAAGAAACATCATTCCCACCTAATGGTTAGTATGCAATGAAGACAACGAACACAAAGGTAATTAGATACAATTATAAATATCTTGGCAATTCAGTTAAATTCTCGAAAAAGAAAAAGAAGAAAAATCTAGCCTTACTTCATTTTTTAGGTTGGTTGGGAGCAACTGAAGCGAAGTGAAGCGCATTGGCAGGTGTACTACTTCCGCCCAGGATATTTTCCAGGAACATTCCATTTGGAATGCTCGAAGTGGGAGCAAGAAAAGAACTTTTCCTGCAAAACCTATTTTTATTCTTCATCAAATGTTAAATCAATGACAAAATTATGACACTAGATATTATATAGTGGAAAATACATTATTTGATTATCGTAGACATAAATCAAAAAAGACTAAGCATAAAAAGTTGCTTTATGACAATAATATGAAATATTGCTCACAGATCAAAGTGATAACATTATAAGGACAATTTATGAGCAGTTAAAAACAGCTCTTTATAAGGATCATATAAACAAAAATTTCTAAAGACCAAGTGAAGCAATATGATAAAGAAAGGAAAACAAATATCAATATATAGCAAACGCATACAATAAAATTGCAGTAGGCCAGAGTTTGTATGTTTGAATATGAAAACCATTGAAGTCACTAAGTGCGGCTTCTTATACTCAGCATGGCAACATCCAATCCTCCTATAACAAGGCGACCAAAGCCCTTAATCCAGAGATTGGAAATCCACTTAGAAACAGAGCTAAATTAATCCCATGGCAAAATGGAATAAAGGTTTATAAACGAACAATACATTTTCAATTTTTTTTTAGGGAAAAAAGAGGTTTTTGGGGAAAAAACAGAAATAAGAAACGTTAGTACCACCTAACGAAATTAAAACTCGTAGCAAAATAGTAAATAATCGCGAAAAACATTATGAGCCAGAAAGCAGACAATCTCCCCTTGAAGAAATAACAACAGATTCTTGGTTAATCATAGTGGATAACCAGTAACCTCCCACCCAGACAATATTCTATGGCCCCCAAGAGCCCTATGAGAATAGACTCTATCCAAACGATTGACCATTTTGCAAGCAATTAAAATAGTAACGCAAACACTTTTAGCGTCTGAATATCTACATTAACTTGTTCCTACAAGCTTTTACGAGGGCTGGAATTCTTCATTACGCATCAAAGAATCATGAGGGAATCTTCAACTAAAAATTTAACATGAACAACAACAAAAGAAGAAAAAAGACAAAAAAAAAAAAAAAAAAAAAAAAAAAAAGGAAATGCGAAAGAAAATGCCAACGCAAGCCTGCAAAATAATGCATGATACAAGCAAGAAAAAATCAAAATAAATAGTAAAGCAAGATAATAAACCCGTTTTAATATTTAAGATCCACCATAATTGTAGAAAGCGTATCAGACGAAAATTAAAAGACCCCAAACAAGGAACCAGGGAAAAAAAATTTTATCGTAATTATTATCATTAAAAAATAAAAAATAAAAATTCACCTTCGATAAAAAACAGCAGCAGCATCCGCCCGTCTCAAGAAGGCAACACATGCCAAATATCAACAAAAGTAATTTAGTTCAAACTCAGAGAAAGAAGGTGAATGCAATTGTGGCAGCGCAGATTATCGCAGGACATCGTCTCCAGTTTGGGTGAGTTGGGGAAGCCAACAGCTTCAATTTGATTTGCTTTTGAAAGTGAAAGTGTTATCCAAATCAAAAATCTTGATCAAACAATCAGGGTTTTCCTTGTTTCATGGCCCAACCTCCATGCCTTGCCCAAGTTTTTCGCTTAGTTTGTAGACCAAATTAAAGATTTACTCTTTTGGGCCTTCATTCGCTAAAACTTAGCCCATTTCAATATATTCTATGCGCTTATAAACTATAAATCTTTTCTTCGTGCTCTGTTCCCCGCCTCGATCTTTCCTTGATCATGTCTGGGTGACGCCGCCTACATATGCGTCGTTTCTTCTCTACTCAAAAGGCTCCGAAACTTTATCCATTTTCCAAACTCTCTTCTTTCCAAATCACCAACCACGATTTATGTCTCTGTCTATTTCTCCTCTTTCAGCCTGAAGGATGTGACCTTCCAATCCTCTAATTAAAAGAACACGACTCGAACACGCTAGAAACCCAATTCGAAACGTGGACCCAAAACCTCAACCCGGGGTTCACTCCTGTGTCCACGCGCCTCCGTGCAACAATCAGACCCAGATTTGCCTCTCCGCGACATCTCCGCTGGACTGCCAAAGCAATTACAAGCACAATCATCTCACATATCTCACCATGATCAAAATCCTAATCGACGGTAGGCGAATTCGCCATGGTTGAAACTTAGTACGAAGAGTAATCGGTTTCCGGTGCCTTGTATGTGAGCGTTCCCCTCTCCAATTCCCATGATTCGTTTTTTTCTGTTGTTGCCGAAGTTTCTGTTTAATCGCGCTTTTTGATGTGTACAAGAAAAATGTTGAACATCGAAGATTGTAAAGCTACACTTGAGAACTTAATGCAATGTTATTTTATTCGGTTTTACTTAGAATTAATAAAGCAAACGTTTGGTTATGTCTTTTACATGCGGTTAGGTCTTAAATAAAGCAAATAAAGCCTCTGGTGTTATAAACCAGAACGGCTTTTTGTTGTTGAATAATGATTATTAGGTATGCCCAAATGTTAAAGTTGAGGAGGCAATTAGGGTTTTTTTCAGTGAAATGGGATTGTATGGATGCGAACCAACCGTATATTCCTATAGCTTAGTGAAGGGGGTTTTTGTGAGAAGGGAAGAGTAGGGCAAAGTGGTTTAGGGTTTTATAAGGAAATGAGGGGAAGGATTGGTGCATAGTGGAAGTACTATATGACCTTGATTTGGTAGACCCCTTGCTATGGAGAGAAGAATTTGGGAGCAATTGAGGTTGTTTTTGATAATGTTTGGGAATTCAATGTCCACCAGGATTTGTTGACTCAAAGACTGTTTTTGGAAGGATTGGTGTAGGAAGGGAAAGTGATGAAGCTTTTGAGTTTAATTGAGGAGTTCCAGAAAGAGGGATGGATGATGAAGGCCAAAAGACATACAAATTGTTGAAGGCATTTGCATATTAATTAATCAAGAATAGATAAGTAGATTTACACTCAGTTTGATGATCATATTCAACTGTTTGTTAACGCTCTAAATTTCAAACAGTTTCAAGATACTGTTAAAAACCGAGCCGAATGTTTAGATGCTCGTTAAATTCAGATCAAAAAGCCCTGATTTAATCTTGGGATTATTGGTTTGGCTGATCTATATGATATTGAGGCTCAATGTGGGGCTATATATTGTGTTCCGGGGTAGCCAGAATTGCCGTTGCAGTTAACTTGGTTTACATGGCGGGGTGGTGGCAGTTGGAAGGAGAGGAATAGACTGTCCGGTTTGCAAATCAAACTGTGGTATTTCAGGAAGATTTAGCGGAGCTTAATCATTTGTTGTGGGAAAAGAAAAGCTTATATCATTCATGATCGCATCATTGTTATGGGAAAGAACAAAATATATGAATGCTCTTCTGATCCATTTTTCATTTCTTCTGGGGTTTCTTCGCTATTGCTTCTTGACTGGTTTACTTATTGGAAAATAAACCTAACCTAGAACCTGGCATCATGTTTCCACACATATGGACCAACAAATGAGATTAAAGGATTTTCTAAAAAGAGTTTCGGGTGAGTTCATTTTTTTTTTTTTAAAAGTATACTGATCCAGAAATGTCTGTTAATCAAAACTATTGATTTCATTAGTGATTCTATATTGCAGGTATTGACTGGGTCCAAGTAAGTATAATTTTCAGTTGGCATATACATTAAGTTCTTAGAGCACTGATTATTACGGGGACTTTCGTTGAGTGGTTTATTGTTCTATTCCTTTGTAATGATGATTTAAATTCTTAGAGAGTTCGGCATATTTTCAAACTAGCATTTTAGCCAACTCTCAATGTATCTTGTTTGTTTGTACCCTAGGATCCAACCTATTCCACCTAGTAATTTATATCAGAAAGTTTTCTAAATTAGAAATAAGTATTGACCAACGAGAACGCAGAATTTTTAACTTCTTCGTGTTTCCAACTTTTGTTATATTCCTTTTTTTTTCAGAAAAACAAATTTCAATATAATAATAATATTAATATATATATATTATATATTAAGTAATGATTTTCCTTAGTGTTGCCAATTAAATGTCATGTTTGTAATGCTTATGATTTATCTTATAATTTATTTAGAATAATTAATTTATAATTGGGTTTTTTGAATTTGAATTAAATGTAATTGTTAAATATATATAGAGCGTTTAAGTAAGTATAATTAAGTAATAATTTAATATTAAATTTAATGGATATAAATAAATTATATAATTATGAATTTTAAATGATAATGGCCAGTTATTATTTTATATTAAAAAATAATATTAAAAATAAAAAATTATTTTTTATTAATTAATTTATGTTAAATATAATTGATTAATTATAGTGTTAGAGAATTAATGACATGATAAGTTGATGATTTATACAACTTTTAATTATTTAAAATAAATTATTTATTCATGAATTTTATAGTGAATTAATTATTTTTTATATTCATTTTAAAATAAATAAGATTAATGAATTTTACTACTTTTCATTTTATTTATTTTTTTATTTATCTCTATAAATTTTAATATTTTTAATCTATACTCTTGAACACATGAACACATGGTTATCTACTAACTTTTACTCTAATAATTAAAAATCATGGTTATATGTATATATTTTTTTACCATTGATATATCTTTATAATATTTTTTAACAACATAATAAAAGAAATTTCATTCAATAATCTATATATATATTCAATTTTACTTTATTTTACCTTTTTTTTTTTTTTTAACCGTGCATAGCAAAAGCGGGATTGGCTAAACATGAGTGGTAGCGATATTAGTTAACAAGCATTTTATATATAGATATATTTCCATTTTAACTTTTGTTATATTTCTTTCATTACCTTTTTTTTTTTTTTTAACCGTGCATAGCAGCGGATGGCTAAACATGAGGGTAGATATAGTTAACAAGCATTTTATATATAGATATATTCCATAACTTTTGTTATATCTTCATTTTTCATCCATCATAAATTATTGTCATGAATGATATTTAAAATTTATTGTTTTACTTTTATTTTATATGTTTCTTTGTCAATAAATATAATGGTCAAACCATTATATTGTCATTAATTAAATCATTATGTAAATAAAATAAACACATAACCTTTAATTTGTTAATAAAATTTTATTTAATCGAATGTTTGATTAATTTCAAAAATAATTTAATATGAATTATTTAATTTTTATGGATACTAACATAAAAGTATATTAGGAAAAAAATGAAATTAATTAAATTTTCTTAATCAAACTACAGCACATTATGAGATGCATGAGTATTAATTTTCAAACTTAAATAAATATTTTGAAATAATTTGATGATGATTAAAATTTAAATATTAAAAATTATAAGATAAAAATAGCAATATACAATGAACTTTCAATATTTAATGATAAATAATTAATATGATTAGTTTTTTAAAAATTAAAATTATTTTAAATAATAATTAATTATTAAATTTAAAAATATGTGTTTAGTAGTTCAATCAAAATATAAAAAAATAATTAAGAATTAAAAAAAAATAGAATATTGGAAATTTCTAACTTCCTCTTTCTTTCGGAATTAATTTATAGATTTACAGATATGTCATATAGACATCCATGATTGATCCATTGAGATAGATACAGGTATATCAATATAGACACAGGGCTGGAGAGATTTAATGGGCTTGGCCTATGAAAACGGGGAGGCTTAGAGCCTGGAGTTATTCGAAATAATACAACAGAGTCTTCCTTCTACAAGGCTGTGCAGTGTCGTGTATACAGATAATCTCGCTCTTACCATCTGAGAAAATGAATGTCAGCTACGCTTCGAAGGCGGCCATAATTTTCTTCTTCCTGGCGCTATTTGCCTTGGGTAATTGTCTATTAATCGATAATGATTGATCTAATCTCTGGCTGAGGTGTGTTCATTTGGATCCACTATTATTGTTGTTAATGGGTTATTTTTGTATTTAATTTCTCAGTTTCAGCTAAGAAATCAGGCGATGTAACTGAGTTACAGATCGGCGTAAAGGTAACTCGCTCATTTTCCCTGTACCTATACATTTGCTACATTTATAGAATTTGAGTGCCCGAACGACCTAGTGTTACGGGTTTTGCTTTCTGATTTCGATTGCCAAATTTAATTTAATGTAGTGATTTAGCTGTGTCTGTTTTTAGTTTCCAAACCTCAAGTTTTAGGAGAAGAGGAAGATGGAAAAATGAATTTTGATTCTTTTTCTAGTCATCAATAAGGGGGGCCTGTCATTCTTGAGTGACTTTGATTTTCACCATTGTTTTATCTCTTGTACATTTTTTCTCAATACTGGTCTGAATGCTCGATTTTTGGAATTTATGGTAAATGCTTAACCTGAATGCTTATTGGACTTATTTGTAATATTAAGATTGATATGAATTTATGGCGAATGCTTAATGTAGTTTCTTGTATTTTCATGTATAAACAAATGTTTTTCGTTAGGATTTGGCTATTTGATTTTTAATTTATTGAGAACTGGCGTTGGTGTTTTGGTATTTTGGGCTACATTTGTTTTCGGCTTCACTTACTTGTTTCACAAAATTAAGAGAGTTCACTATATTTGTTGCGTTTCTTTTCTTACCTATATTTTGTTTCTCTTGTTTTCTGATACAGCATAAGCCCAAATCTTGTGAAATCCAGGCTCATAAGGGAGACAGAATCAAAGTACATTATCGAGTAAGTGTAATTGCAGCTTTGGCTGAATCATTAACTTTTCCGATGTATGTTATTGTTCTAAATGCTGAGAAAGCCTACTTGCAATGCTGAATATTCAATTTTCATACAAGCAGTGTAACACATGAAGTTAAACTTTACCACTGACCATTCCATGTCTGTATTATGTTTGCTAAAATTTTGGTTTTAGAAACTAAATGTGGTTTTCACTGTCTTATTTGGAATTGAAATATATTTGTCTCTGAGAATTTTGGTAGTCGGTGAAATACATGCTTGTAGAGTTGTTTGTAGAAGAAATAATTGATGCAATATCATTAAAGTAGCCTAATGGCATGTCTAAAGATTGTGATTTTAGTCCTAGAATTTATAAGCCTGTTATATGCCCTAAAGTTTCGGATTATCCTTTCTTTTTCCTTTTATCTATGAATTGTAATTGGTCATGGTCTCTTACAAATTATATAGATCCTGGGACCCCTGCCCCTAGGCTAAGATTGAAATGGATATGTAAACACTTCTTTTTTGTTTTTAATTTTCATATAACATACCCTCTTTATAATTCTTGTTCTTGCTCTAATTATGCTCAACACATCCATTATTTTTATTTATATTACAACACGAATTATATCTTTTTGTGTTTTTGCAGGGTAAACTCACAGATGGAACTGTTTTTGATTCAAGCTTTGAAAGGGGTGATCCAATTGAATTTGAGCTTGGTAGTGGACAAGTTATCAAAGGTTTGTAATGCACCAGCTAGTTATTACTTTTGTAAACTCTTATTTCTTTATACATGTACATGTACAATAATATTCATATAAGATTACAGTTAACAGTCCACTCCCCTGTTATATTCCCTTCAAATTGATGTCTTCAGAGACTCTTGACACTTAGAATCATACTCCATGTTGCAGGATGGGACCAAGGACTATTAGGAATGTGTGTAGGTGAGAAACGGAAGTTGAAAATACCGGCAAAACTTGGTTATGGGGAGCAGGGTTCCCCACCAAAGATTCCAGGTAATATGTTTTATTTAATATTTTCTAAACTTCCTTAGCAATCTAATCAGTATGTTGGAGGTTCCTTTATTATGTGATGATGAGTTGAGTCTTAATGGAAGGTGAAGCATGTAATCGTTAAATTTTGAAGAATGGATGTATTTGGTTCTACATAATGTAACTTTAATGCAGTGATGAGTGATCATTGAATTTGATGCTTGGGTTGGTGACTGATCATTACAACATTGGTTTGTCATATTATCACTTATATTTCAAGATGTAAGCCAATGAAACTTGTGTAGTTTTAAACAGTTATGCTTGCAGTTGTAGATGCTAAGGGTCCTGTATGCAACTTTACTATAAAGCTGGAATTAGTTGATATACCAAGCTCTGTTTTTCTTTGTTGACCCTTTTTTTTAATATACAATGCTGCATTTTACATCAGTAAAAACATTTGCGATAAAAGTAATATCCTTTGTTTGATAATTTCAGGTGGAGCGACACTGATATTTGACACTGAGCTTGTAGCAGTGAATGGAAAACCATCGAGTGGAGGGGAATCGAGTGACAGCGAGCTATAGTCATGAAGATAGAGCATGGTTCTTGTCCTTTTTACTTGTTACAGTTTTCGCTGGTCACTTTTGCTGGTCAGTAAAAAATTGTTTTAGATGCTAAAAAACCAGACAATAGTTGAATGTTGCATTTTGAGGTATCAGATGCTTCTTCTAGCAACATAAACTAGGCTGTTGTTTGTTTAATCAGAATCTTTATGGAGTTATGCTGTTGAGAATTGAAACAGTGCATTTAGCAATTTGTACTTGGTTGCCATCTTAAAAAATGCTAGGAGAAGATGCTGATACAACTGCCTGAACTTGAATAAATAAAGATTGATTATTATTATTTAGTCCCTACATATTAAAAGAAAAAATTACAAGTTATCACTCCTTTGTTTTTCAAAATTAATTAAATTGTCTTTCTATTTTGTTGTTCAATTAAATAGTTCTTCTGTTAAGGTTGCGATTTGTTTTTTTGTCAACTAAAGAATGTAAAGAAAAGACTTTTTAGTTCGACATTGCCCTTGAAGAAAAGAAATTAAAATTTTATTTTGAAATTTTATCTAATAATTAAATCTAAACATGTGTGTATATTATTATTATTATTATTAATGTGTTTTTTATTATGAATTAGGATTAGTGATATTTAGGATAAAAAAAAAAAAGGTTCAGAGTTGGGTTTGTTGATGGTATATACAAAAGAAGATTTTGTAATGTTTATGCAAGCATTTGCTCTCTTTATGGCTAAAGGGGTCCACTGGTTCTACGGTAGGTGCACGTGGAGGTAAACAGATAGTGTCTATTTTTGGCTAATTGTAGTTAGGGCCTTATGGTAAGTGTTCTCAAGCAAGTTAATCATCACTCAAACTCCAATCGTCTCATGAAAATACCCATTAAAAAAAAAAAAAAAAAAAAAAATAAAAAAAAAAAAAAAAAAAAAAAACGAAGAAGATAAAGCACCATTATAATCTCTAATTTGTTATTGTAAACCCAGTGGTCAAATAAAAAAAAAAAAAAAAAAAAAAAAGAAGAAGATAAGCACCATTATAAATCTCTAATTGTAATTTGTAAACCCAGTGTCAAATATTACCTGTAACAGAATCTTGGCACCACCGGCGAAGACAATCTTGGCCACCAGATTTTGAAGTCTCTTTTAGAGATTCAACAGCCACACGCACCTCTCGAATATAAATTTGATCCGATTAAGACAATCGCAGCCGTCCGATTATTATAATGTTCACTTCGAAATGTTGACATGCGTAACACCCAATCACGTACCGTTACCTTTACACAGACACCGATGCTTCTCTCTCGAACAATCCTGGCCCGCCCTTCACTCACTCTCTAGCCCTCCAAACCCTTAACCCTCATAGAACTCTCTAGAAACCCAAATCATCTCTTCACTATAAAGGCCTCTCTTTTTCACTCTCAACCTTGAACCAGAACTCTCTCTCTGAAACTACTTCTAAAATCTCTCATAACTTCTGATCAGTCTCGAGTTGTTCACTAAAGACATGGATGAGGATCTTGATGTTCCTGCTGGAGAGGAAATGATGATGGACGACATCGATCTCGCTGACGAGAGCCCCGTTTTGAAGGTAGGGGAAGAGAAGGAGATCGGAAAGCAAGGTTTGAAGAAAAAGCTTGTTAAGGAAGGTGAAGGATGGGACACTCCTGATAATGGCGACGAAGTTGAAGGTATAGTATAACTTAACTCTTTCAATCCCTGATTAATTGTTGGCGAAATGTAAAATGATATTGAGGTGGATTCTTTTTGTTTTCAGTCCATTATACGGGAACTTTGCTCGATGGAACTCAGTTTGATTCTAGTCGGGATAGAGGGACTCCCTTCAAGTTCACGCTTGGTCAAGGTAAGGAATCCTACTGTTGTTATTCAAATTAGTTATTAATTGTTGTGGTTACGCGCGGACTACGGATTTTTTTTTGTTTTTTCCTTGAGCTGCTATAATTTTTTTTTTTTCTTGGTTTGCATTGAATTGAAACTCGAGCTGATGATGTTGTCAGTCTGGGTTTCAAATTTTAATGCAAATACTTAGAATGGAAATTAGGGAATGGTTTTAATCTTGTCTCTTAAATAAGTTTGTGCTGCTTAATTAAATGTTGATTTAATCGTTTTGTAAGTAATATTCGTATCTTTCTGTAGATTATTTCTGATTAGAGTTTGTTACTCATGTGGTTATGGAGTGCTAGTTGTGCTATTAATTACTCAGTAAAGTCTGTTTTTCCTTCTATTTCCATTCACTGGAGATTAAAATGCATAAGTTCAGGATTTTGTACGAGTTCCGTGCATATTTATTAACATTCACCAAGTTTAACAAAATGTCACAAAAAATACTCATGGAACTAACCAATTGTTGTTCTTAGAATATCATTATATGTCTAGAAAGCATAATGGAGAACTGCGTTTCTAATGCAATTTATATTTATTGTTCCAAAGTTGGCTTCTATATTTATTTTGGATGGGTGGATTTTAAAATTTTAGTTTCTCAATGTGATGAAACTAGAATGAATGCCTTGGAGATTTTATGTTGATGATAAATGTGCATAGCAAATTATCTCCCTTTTGAGTCTTCCACTAAAATGATGCACGAGATTGAGGATCTTGCTTCCTTTTAATGGTCGTAACCCCTTCTTCATCTATCTACAACTCTATTCTCTAAAAAAATTGGTTATCTGCAGGGCAAGTGATTAAAGGATGGGACCAAGGTATCAAGACAATGAAGAAAGGTGAAAATGCTATTTTCACCATCCCTCCTGAGCTTGCTTATGGTGCTTCTGGCTCACCACCAACTATTCCTCCCAATGCCACACTTCAGTTTGATGTTGAATTACTGTCTTGGTCTAGTGTCAAGGATATCTGCAAGGATGGTGGTGTATTTAAGAAGATTCTTGTTGAAGGAGAGAAATGGGAGAATCCCAAGGACCTTGATGAAGTTTTAGGTAGATCATTCTTGGTAACAATGGTCACAACTTTAGAATACCAGGTTATTGACTAAATCCTTACCTATTATTATTGCAGTTAAATATGAGGCTCAGCTCGAGGATGGTACAGTTGTTGCCAAGTCTGATGGGGTAGAGTTTACTGTCAAGGAGGGTTAGTATTCTGTGTTCCTGTCTGATGATGATATGAGGCCTTTTGAGTCCTTATAATTGACTGTTCCTTTATATGCAGGTCATTTCTGTCCTGCACTGTCAAAGGCCGTCAAGACAATGAAGAAGGGGGAGAAGGTTCTTTTAACAGTGAAGCCACAATGTAACTTTTCTTATTGTGCAGCCGGTCATGTTTAAAGCAACCGTGTACATGGTATTCTTCTCATTTGTTGTTGGATGTTTGTTTTATTTAGATGGATTTGGTGAGAAAGGTAAGCCAGCATCTGGGAATGAAGCTGCTGTTCCACCAAATGCCACGCTTCAAATAACCCTGGAGTTGGTCTCATGGAAGACTGTGTCAGAGGTGACTGATGACAAGAAGGTTATTAAGAAAATCCTGAAGGAGGGAGAGGGATATGAGCGTCCAAATGATGGCTCTGTTGTTAAATGTTAGTGTTGAATTATCTGAAGAGATATAGAATTGTATTTTCCTTTGACAAGTGTAAGCATCTAATGGTTCAATTATTGTGCTTCATGCAGTAAAATTGATGGGGAAGTTGGAAGATGGTACAGTATTTTTTAAGAAAGGACATGATAATGAGGATGAGCTGTTTGAGTTCAAGACAGATGAGGGTAAAGACAACCACAGTTTTTTCTCCATTTCCTTGTATCCTAAACTAGGGGATTAATCTGTCTTTGAAACTGATTTTTTCTTTGTTTATTTATATTTTTTGACAGAGCAAGTAATTGATGGGCTTGATAAAGCTGTGGCGTCAATGAAGAAGGGTGAGGTGGCTCTAGTGACTATTGCACCAGAATATGCATTTGGATCATCCGAGTCAAAGCAGGAGTTGGCTGTTGTTCCTCCTAACTCAACTGTATACTATGAGGTTGAGCTGGTCTCCTTTGTCAAAGAGAAGGAGTCATGGGACATGAACACCCAGGAAAAAATCGAAGCTGCTGGTAAGAAGAAGGAAGAAGGCAATGTTTTATTCAAGGCTGGAAAATATGTAAGGGCATCCAAAAGATATGAAAAGGTAATTTTTGCATATGCTTTGCCTTTTGACTGCCTCCTGGCTTTGTAGTTTTTGTAGTTTGTTAAGTTGTCATTTGGCTTTTCAACAGGCTGTTAAATATATAGAGTATGATTCCTCCTTTAGCGAGGAGGAAAAAAAGCAGGCCAAGGCGTTAAAGGTTGCTTGTAACCTAAATAATGCTGCGTGCAAGCTAAAACTGAAGGACTATAAAGAGGCAGAAAAATTGTGCACCAAGGTGAGAAAGCGGCATGGTTTCTTTATACCTAGTTAAAAATTAACCAACTTCGTATGCTATATGGATAAAACTGTGGTACTCTACTGGTATTGTGCAGGTGCTAGAGTTGGAGAGTAGAAATGTAAAAGCTCTCTATAGGAGGGCCCAGGCATATATTCAGTTGGCAGATTTGGATCTGGCTGAGTTTGATATTAAAAAAGCCCTTGAGATTGACCCTGACAATAGGTATGACAGTTAATTTTTACTATTGTGAAACTTGGAATGGTAAATTCAGGGTGTTGCTAGTTGAATTCAAGAGTTGGTTTAAAGTTGTACTAACATGTGATGAAACCAGGGATGTCAAGCTCGAGTATAAAACTTTGAAGGAAAAAATGAGGGAGTACAACAAGAAGGAAGCCAAATTTTATGGCAACATGTTTGCCAAGATGAATAAGCTGGGGCCGCTTGACTCTAATGTAAGTGTCACATCTATCCTACCACGAGCTACTAAATTGTGCGAGTTCTATGGGCCTGCTAATGTCAGGTTGTGTGCAACTTTGGCTTAAATTCTTGTATTTGAAGACCTCTGATATCCAAATTCTGTCTAATATCGCATACTTAGTTCTATGCAAATATTACCTCCTTTTTTTATGGGAATTTTTCATGTGGTTATATTGTGTGATTAGAACTTCTGAATATACACTCTCCTTAATTTTCACACTGAAATATTGATATTTTCTGTTGCAGAAATCTGAATCTGAGGAGTCGCAACCAACTCGTGAAAAGACAGCCTAGCAGGAATTTTTAGTAGAGTGACCAACTGGAACATGAAGGAGCAAATCCTGGTCTATTCTGTTCTTTTACTGTTTTTGGTTTTGCTTATGATGTGGAGAACTTCATTATTTGGTCTTGACATTAGAAAATTGTAACGGATTCTCCTAACCAAGAGTGGTGATATTTGCCCTAAATTTACCTAGTTGGACATGCCGTTTTTATTTTTGGAGGGGCTTATAGATTAATCATTGTTTATCCTTTTGTAACGCATACTGTTGTTTGTTGTATTTGAAATGCTGGCTGCTTTGGTAGGGCATGGGAGATTAAGGACATGATAATTTACTATTGGTTAACTTTATATATTAACAGAAGTTAACAGTAAAAATTTCGAGAGGATGGTTTAATTTGATCGTTAAGCGGAAAAAGTGGAGGAAGGTCTGTACAAAAGTTGCAGACCACGGCACGAACGGTTCATGCAGTTAAGGGGTATTTTTGGTACATGAATATATATACTAATCATACCGTCAAAGATGGATGTTTTTTTATGTTTTATTTTGTAATCTATTAGTTATTAAGAATTGAGGAATTTAATGTATTTTTATATGGGAGTCAAAATTATTCCTTCCGTCCAAAATAGAAATCGTTTGTGGGGACTAAATAATTTTTTTTTTCTAATCTTATTTTTATTTATATTAAATAGGATTATCCTTAATAACCTTTGCAGCCTGCAAAAGAAATATAGCCTTTACGGTTAAAATTCAACTCATTTTTATCGGTAAACGAATCAATATACTGCCTATTTTTTAATAATTATTATTAGTAATAATTAATAAGCAGATAATTACAAAGTTTGATAGTAAATTGTTTTTAAGTGATCGACCAAAAACAAGACACTTTAAGTTTGAAACCTGAGTTTAATATAAATATTTTACTTCACAGAGAGAGTTTAAATGTAAATATTCTAGGTTGAGTTTTTGTAAATATTTTCATTTTAACGATAACTACATGGAAAGATATATAATTATTATTCACTTATATGATAATTACTCATTATATGTAGGGAAAATAATGAATTCTCTAATGTTTTACCAAACTAACTAAGTTATATATGCAGTTTGCAGTATTAATTAATGGTCCTTAAGGTTTATTTCCATTTAATCACTTTGTCTTTCCGTCTATTTTCTCTATATTTTTTCATTAAAATATTTAGAAAAAGACTAAAATGTCCTAATACATAAGAATGAAAAATAATTAATTCATTTCTGAGGTTTGATCAAACTAATCAAGTCATTCATGCAGTTTAACAATATTAATTAATAATCTGTGAGATTTACCTCCCTCAAATCATTTGGTCATTCTGTTTACTTTCTCGTGATTTTTTTATTAAAACTTAAAAAAAAAAGACTAAAATATCATTACACTTAAGAAAAAAAAGACTAAACTAATGTAGATTATTTACTTTATAACGGAATGATAGTTGAGTCTTATAAAATTTACAATTGGAATTCTGCAAAAACGTTGAATTTTTTTATTTTCTAAAATATTCTTTAAACTAATGTAGATTATTTACTTGTATAACGGAATGATAAGTTAGATCTTATAAATTTACAATTGGCATTCGCAAAAAACGTTGAATTTTTTATTTTCCTAAATTTCTTACTATTCCTATGGTCTTACTTCATTTCATTAGTTGTGTTGTAATTGGAAATATATAAAATAATTTTGGTTCTCTTGAGTTCTCTTGAATATTGATACCTAAAATTACATATCTATTATTTTTATTGAAATTAACTCGATGTATATTTTTCTTTTTCATCTTTTTATTGGTGGCTCAAGACAGTAAAGTGACACGTTATATTGATTAAAACTTTTTTTTTTGGGTGAATATTAAATAATCAATATATACCCTGACTCTTCGTTTTTGTTCCACGATAAATGAAAATCTAACCTAGGTTAGTTTAGTTTTTTTTTCTTAAATGTCAAGGTATTTTAGCCTTTTTCTTGAAGGCTTTAATGGAAAAATCTGAAGAAAATTGACGGAATAACTAAATTGTTTGACAAAGATAAATTTAGAGAATTATTAATTAATATTGTTAAACTGCAATGGTGACTTAGTTAGTTTGGATTAAATCTCAGGGACAAATTAATTATTTTACCCTTCTTAAGTGTCAAGGTATTTTAGTCTTTTTTAAATGTTTTAACGGAAAAATCTAGAGAAAATAATAAAGGACCAAATAATTCAATGGAAGTAAATTTTAGATATCATTAATTAATATTGACAAATTACTGGATAACTTAATTAGTTTGATCAAACTTCTAGGACAAATTAATTACTTTCCCTTATATGTAAAACAAATTACAGATGTTGAAAAAAAAAATACAGGCATATGATTGTACATTTAGATTTTCGGATATGTATGTAACTTAAATATTTTAATGTGGGCAAAATAGTAACTTAATGTGTGACTCAGCGTTATTAATAAACGCAGCAGCTAGGGTTTATCCGAAGCGGAGTAGCCAGAGAGAGGAAGAGGACATCGCCGCTAAGTCAAAATGGGTAATCATTCTCTCCGATCTGTATTTTTACAGGGCTTGATTTCGCTTTTTGTGGTGTTTGACATGGCTTTACCTGGTTTCTTCAGGTATCTCCAGAGACTCCATGCACAAGAGGCGTGCCACTGGTGGCAAAAAGAAGGCCTGGAGAAAGAAGAGAAAGTATGAATCTTTCCTTTCCCTCTTTTCCTGATTGCGAAGTTTCGTTGCGTTTTATTTTCATTTTCTGCTTTTGGGCCAGATTTTAGTTGGAGGTGAATGATTTTAATTTTTTCTTCATGGCTGATCTATTAAAGGTATGAGCTTGGTCGTCAGCCTGCAAATACCAAGCTTTCAAGCAACAAGACAGTAAGAAGGATTCGTGTTAGAGGAGGCAATGTTAAGTGGAGAGCCCTGAGATTGGACACAGGAAATTATTCCTGGGGTAGTGAGGCTGTTACCCGCAAGACTCGTATCCTTGATGTGGTTTATAATGCCTCCAACAACGAACTTGTTAGGACCCAAACTTTGGTGAAGAGTGCTATTGTTCAGGTTGATGCTGCTCCATTTAAGCAATGGTATCTCCAGCACTATGGTGTTGACATAGGCAGGAAGAAGAAGACTGTTGCTAAGAAGGAAACTACTGAGGTGATTTTAATTTTAGAACAACTTTATTATTTATTTGTCAATATCTATTTAGTTTCTTTCGGATTGTAGCACCATAATGTTCTTGTTATGAATTTGATTGTATTGATAGTTGGTGCATTGGATATTTCAATTTTTGAAAAGAACATTATGAAAATCAATAACTCAATCTGGCTCTCTGTCGTTTCCTTGCGGTTGTTGCATTTGATTTGGCTTGAACAATTTTGAAGGGTTTTATTTTCCCCTCGCTATTTTTTTTTTTCTGAATTGTTAATCCTACAATATATGGTGAGTACAATGTGCTGCAATATCATAACCCAGAAAGATGCTTTCAATTTGGTTAAATATTATGTGTTCAATAGATTCTGTGGTACAACTACCAGTGTTAAATTGATCAAGTTCTTTAGCTTGCATCTCTTGAATACGAGTTGAAAAGGGTTTTATTTTTGATTACTGGTGATTGCAGGAAGGGGATGCTGCTGCTCCTGCCACGGCAGAGGAAGCTAAGAAGAGCAACCATGTACAGAGGAAGCTTGAGAAACGCCAGAAGGATCGTAAGCTTGACCCTCACATTGAAGAGCAATTTGGAGCTGGAAGATTGTTGGCCTGCATCTCATCTCGACCTGGTCAATGTGGCAGAGCTGATGGGTAACTTAACTAAATAGAAATATTGGTGTTTTCTTATCATATCAAATCTCTTGTTTACCATGGTTCTTGTTGTCAGGTACATATTGGAGGGTAAGGAACTTGAGTTCTATATGAAGAAGATCCAAAAGAAGAAGGGCAAGGGTGCTGCCTAAATGTTTTAACTGTCAAGATTTTGCTGCCGACTGTCTGGTTTATTTTAGTTTTGGTTTCTTGAGTTTTAGAAATACGATATGATACATTAATGGTAGAATGCTAAAATGATGCTCATTCTGTTTTGGAGCCATTAGAATCAACTTTAACGTTTTCTTTTTCCTTTTATATAATCTATTTGTTTTGCGGTTGTTATTATTTCCATGGCATTTCTTTAAATGTGCTTTCTTTTAATGTATATCTGTTGGTTCTTAGGGTATAGTGATTAGTCTGTTTCTTCGCAAAGCTTTCTTTTAATGTATATCTGAGTTCATAGGATATAGTAATTAGTCCGTCTATGTTTCATCCGTCATACTCATACACACGATGGGTATATTTGTGTTTTTTACTTTTGAACTATAATTGGTTCTCCACTTAATTCATCTGAGAAGAGGAGCCTTGGTTATGTTATTGTCATGTACGGCATTGTTAGATAAATGTAAAATGGGTTATGAGCGAATTGATTTCACTAGATGATTATTTGCTTATTCCTAGGTGAATTTTATAGGGAAATTGTTACAACTCGTAAAGCTGTGTTCTAGTTGGAACAAAAGGAGCATGTGATGAAGTGCAATGCTCTTTTTTGTTGTGTTTGGCTCTTAAATTTCTTTAGGAGGGGAAGGGGAAGGAAATGGGGGTGGCCATTGCTAAAAAGAGAGTGAATTTTTTGAATTCTACAAAAAGGGGTGGCCATTAATAGTATGATTTAATAGTATGCTTCACCCCACAGATAGATCTTTTTTTATTTTCACAAATTAAAAAAATAGTTAATATAATTTAAATAATGATGTCTGAGAAATACATTTCTCATACTAATGTCACATTATTTGATGTCTTTTCTAATAAAGAATTAATGGAAAGCCACAGTAAGACCGCATTTGGACGTATTATCAGATGTAGAAAAGGAAGTTGGATCTCACTTTAGCAACTGCTCTGTTCCTCATGCACAGCTTTAGGCTCTTCTTTGAAGGGATGAAACTTGCTTGGTCCTTGGATATCTGTAATCTCTGCATTTTATGCGCATATTCTTCATCAACCCGAAGATTTTTGTTTTTTTGTTTTTTTGTTTTTTTTTTTTTGGGTGGGGGGTAGTGTCCTTTTGAACTCATCTCCCAAAAGAAAAAACAGTGAGAGAAAATTTAGTGGAAAATTGTTGATAATAATAATAATAGGGATACATTAGAGAATTAACAAATTGATTATACTGCAAAAATAAAGTACCATATACTTTAGAACACGAAAAAAAAAAAAAAAAAAGCAAGGAAAAAAAACAAGCCTGCGAAAGTATATTACAAAAACATTAATTCAACAAGGGCATTGGTCATTAACAAAAAAAAAAAAAAAAAAGCCTGGAAAAAGTATAAATTACAAAAACATTAATCTCAACAAGGGCCATGGTCATTAATACACCATTTCAAAAACTCTCTGAATGATGTGAATCCATTCCTAATCGTCTTACATAGAATGACAAATGTTGTAACACGAGTGAAATTTTAACATTGACACTAAGGGTTTACATTGCTTGTAATTTGTAAACTATGAAGCTTCAAAAAAATGAAAAAGACATGTAAGATGACATTTGCAAGTGTACACTTCTGTAACTCTATGCAACTATAAAATGGACAAACATGATAGGAAAATCAATTTTGACACTTACCTCGCCTCCAACATTCTGAAACAATTCTGCAGTAACCAAGAATATTGTACTACCAACAACCACGATGACACAATGGTCCTTCAACCAATGAGTGAATAAGTAAACTACAATCTTTTTTGCGCCGAGCATAAATGAATGAAATTGCTTTAACCCAGTGCTAAGAACCCAATGAACATGTTCCAATGGTGAGGTCTCTAATATACAAATTGTGGGATGCATCTATACGAGTAATCATAACGGTGACTGCATCACTGTGCAAGTCCAAATCCCTCGAGAGATCTTTCATGAATATTAGAATACTGGAAACTCATTGTTAACTAACCTGTTCCCCGATCAAATCAAGACCGACAACTAGGAAACTGATCCCTTGAAATAGTAAGAAGTAAAAGTGAATTCCTTGTGCAGATAATAAGCTCCTCACTGAGGCTGTTAATAGAATCAATGCCAGACCAAGTTCTTTCCTGTACAAACGATTTTTTCTCTTTTTCACTGCTTTCTTGGTGGACTCCAGCTTGTTCAGCTCATTCAAGCCAGGATCTGAGGAAGATCGGTGGAGACCACTAGTTTCAACTAGAGGATCTGATTCCTTTTCTGCAAAGGCAACCAAGTCCGCCTCTGATGATCTCCCTAACTTCTTTGTAACTATCCACTCGTAAGAACTTCCAAATCGAAACAATCCCGATATCATTGCATTGAATTTGGTCACAGACATGGTGTTTTCAAATAAAAGGTAGGGGACTATAAATGGGAATGACCGTGGTGCTGGAAGGATATTCAAGATAGACATAATGCCCGGGATATAACAAACAACCCAGGCTGGTAATTGAGCTTCTGGCATGAACATGGTAAGTGGTAGTATGATGCAGAAGAGTGTGAAGGAATAAAAAGGTAGGATAAGCTTCCGTAGTAGGAAGAAAAGAAATATCAGATTTGCTTTCTTGCCAAAACTAACCTGGAATTTGAGAGAAAAAAAAGTATATCAGGAAAAAATGCCATGTGCACTTAAATGTAAGTTGATGCTGATAAAAAAACTCATAACAAAATGATAATGAGCAACTGAAAAACTTCAACCACATCCTGGCTCCAAAGCAAGTCCCAACAAGGATAGCATAGTTTAGGTACAAATGAAAAGTGGCCAACAAATTTGTAACAAGAAATTTGAACAAGGAGACAAGAAGATCAGACTATACCATTTGAACAAGAAATTTATAAGATCCATCATGATATCTAGCAGTGAACTATAGGTACCAAACAGGTACCAAAGAATAGTTTTGATTCATTGCCTAAGGGCAATACTAATATTACAAGACGTGTTCCAGTCCTAAATTCTTGTGGCCTAACTGACTGCTTGAATGCCTTGTGCCATCCAAGAAATGAAAATAGTGAAATAAATAAATATCAGCAGTATTCAAACTTTTTGCTAGAAGTCTGATGTTCAAATATATTCTTTTTCATGGTTTACTTTTGTCAAAAGCATTAGCTACATACCTTTCTTTAATACCTCAAGATAACATCCTAAATACACTCTTAATTTCATAGAACAATAAAGTAATTGCACAAAATTTCATTCTTACCTTTGAGCGAAGTATGTCAAAGAAACACAAGCGAAACAATTGCATTGGACCTGAATGCCAGCGATGCTGCTGTTTTTTGTATGCTTCATAGGACTCTGGAAGTTCACAAAGGCACTGAAAAAATAGGAATGAACTAGTGTTAAAACTATTCTGTAAAATACATTTAGACTCTAGAAATGGTGAATAACAGGACACACCTTAACATCATTCAGATATATAAACTTCCATCCACAAAGGTGAGCGCGGACAGCAATATCCATGTCTTCAACAGTTGTCCGTTCCATCCAACCACCACATTCCTCAAGGGCTTTAGTCCTCCATACACCAGCAGTTCCATTAAAACCAAAAAAGTTTATGAAAACACCATTGACCTGTTGCTCAACTTCAAAGTGGAATGATAAGTTTATATTCTGAAGTCTGGTCAGCAAGTTCTCATCCTTGTTTACAAAGGTCCACCTTGTTTGGACCAGTGCTAGATCATCGTTTCCCTGAAAAAATTAAAAGGAAAAAAACAAAAGCAAAAGAAAACAATTTCTTATCAGAAAACAAAATAAGAGTGGCTATATAAACTTAACAAAAGCAAACACAGCAGTTCCAAAACATGCTAATGGACTTATATAAAAACAACGTCATGCGTGTGCATATGCACACACAGCTTGCGTATGCTATAGATCCACTACTTGCTCATGTAGTTTATTGATGTACATACATTTATTACAATGCAGACACTTGATGCTTCCCCCACTTCTCTCTCTCTCTCTCTTCCCCCCACCATCCCTTTTTCTTCCATTTGCAATGTTAAGCTATGTGTCCAAGATGACAGGCATGGAAATGAAACTATACATGAAATTCACTAGGGTAACAGGGTAAGTTGCTTTGAGAAAAAGAAATTAAGCACCACTTGATCATGAAATATCTCTTTCAAGTTGATATCTATCTTATCCAATCAAATTTAAAGTGGAGTTGAGGCCCATAATCATGCATAAATAAATTAAAGCCTGCAATTCATCATAACACTACTTGAAATAGAACTAATAATCTTTTAGTGCTTCATTTTTTTATATTAAATATTTATTTCACCTAATAAATTTGTTGCAAAAGGGCTAATGAGTGTTTGAGACAATGAAGAAAGAAGGGGTTTTCTGTGTGAAAAAGATAACATAGTTAAGTCCATTTGCAACAGGTGTATATGTGGTTGATCATTGTCCACACCAAATGCTGAGTGGTTAGATTGGTTAAATTGTACAAGCAGATTGTAATGTACCTAAGTACAATTTTCTGTCTTTGTGGCAGAATGATTAATGTATTTTTTAACCATTGATGAATCATCAAAACAGATCCTTCTCTAAGCCCAAGCTTTGCAGCATAATTTAAAAAAACTTTTTTGCAGCAAAAAGTAGGCAGATGCAAAATAACTTCATTGAGTCTATACATGGAAGCCCATTTCATTTTCAGACAGGGTCAGACCAATGAAAGCTTTAATGTATTTAGATTATGAGGTTACCTTGAAGTAAGGAATAGTTTTCTTCAAGAAATCAGGTCCTGGCTGAAAATCTGCATCAAAGATGGCCACAAATTCATAATCTTTTACATAGTCACAGCTCATTGCAGATTTGAGGTTTCCTGCCTTGTAGCCTGTGCGTATAAGACGATGTCTATACAATATGTGCACACCCCTTTGTTGCCATTTCTGCACTTCTGCCTTGATAAGGAGTTGAACATTTAATTCATCAGAATCATCTAACACCTGTACAAGCATTCTCTCCTTTGGCCAATCCTGGATACAAACTGCCGCAATAGATTGTTGATAAACCTGTACAGCACCCACTCAGTATTAATAATTGAAAGAGGTGATAATTAATGTAAAACAAAGGCCAAAACAATGTTCCTATGGTGAAGCTAACAAAGCTAACAAAGAACTAACTTCAGCAAATGAATAAAATAACTATTTAAAAACTAACGAAATAGTTTCAACTAAAATTTGAATTGCAGTTTCTTCTTTCATTTATTTATTTATTTATTTATTTGATTCTCTCTTGTTTCACCTGCCTGTGAATGTGCTAATGAAACTTAATAAATTGAATCATCCATGGAAGCAAAGCTAATTGAATCACCAGTACCTATGTGTACACAAATGGTCTCATCCCACGAAGTCACACATTACTTGTACAATCCAAAACATAAACTAAAACTATCTAAAATGATTTAGAAATGAATTTCCAATTAATACCGACTCTATTAAAGTTTTAATATACTCCTCAATGCATTAAAAAAACAGGCACTGCTCTAAATGCAACTTAGCTAAAAAATACGAAGGGATTAGAAACCTACATCTGCTTACCTCCCTCTCATTGCACATAGGGATCTGCACCAACACCATGGGATAATCCTCCACATTCTCTCCATTCACATTCCCATACTCCACTGTCGCTGCCGGCTTCAATTTCCTAACCCTGATCCAAAAACACCCCAACACCAAAACGGCACGATCCACCGACTGTATCAAGAACAGAACGATGCACACATTGGCCAAGCTCTGCAACGGCGGCGCCAAGTAATTCGCTCTGATTTCCAACCATTTAGCGTACACTCTCTCCACCATAAGCTCCGCGGACTCCACTGACGGCGGACTGAAATGCCATCCTTTAAAATACGCAAGCAACTCAAAACACAGTAACAAAATGATAAGAATCAAGAACACTCTAATGATTCTATACAACCGCGAGGAGGATGAATCAGAAGGCGAGTCATGGCTAGCGATCCTCCGATTGGCGGTGCGGAGGAGATAAAACAAACCGTTTGTTAGCCACGCGAGGGAGGTAGCGAGTTGTTGGAATTTAAGAATCCAAAGCCAGGACAATTGGCGAGCGCTACGGGTGTGGTCTTTGTCGACGGTAGTATCGACTGTGGCAGGACTGCGGATCTCGACGGTGAGCAATGCGTTGTCGTTTTGGTCTAGAAACTGGCGTTGTTTGTTCCACCATTCTTGAAACTCCTGGTTTTGCGATGGACTCATAGAAATGTAAGATTTGCAAATAACAAAATGTATCTGTTTTTTACCGTTTCTTGCTTCTCAGATCTCTCTGCTTGGCGGTGAGTGTGTGATAGGGAGACACGAGAGGTTGAAGCTATATTTGGCAAGTGTTTTCAACCAATTTTTTAGCCATGTTGTTTTCTTGTTTTCTGGTACAAGTTTCTTCATTTCAGTGCTGTAAGCTCGTCTGTATATTCACCGTTTGATGAAATGATGAAAATGTGTGGTATCGTGATGGTGGTGATGCATGCATGTATCGTGTGATTTAATTCACTGAATCAATTTTTGCGTTTGAAGTGGAAACGAAAAGACAGGCCATGTGCTGTTTCAGAGGTTTCTAAATCTAAATTTCTGAATACCACGCACCAATTGCGGCGAAGAGTTCCGTGGCGCGTGCGATGGGATTGGAAGCAGTAAGGAAATATCTTTATTTGTTTTGGCATGTTTGGCAAAATGATATCGACAATGTTAAAATTGAAGACTTTACAAATAAAGTACATTATTAGTGTGATTTAGTTTAAAAGGTATAAATAAACCTTGGAGGATCTCAGTAAGGGTTAAATATATAAATTCACTTCTTCTTTTTTTCTATATTATCTTAAATTTTGATAGGATCTGCAATACCTCTAACGTTGAAAATTTTAATACTAATAACAACAACATTTACGATTTTTAGCTTTTTTTTTTTTTTTTTTTCTCTAAGACACATAGGATCTGCCATACTCTAACGTTGAAAATTTTAATACTAATAACAACACATTTACGATTTTTAAGCTTTTTTTTTTTTTTTTTTTTTTTTTTTTTTTTTTTACATTGATTAGATATGTGATTATTACAATTTGTAAAATAATAATTTTTATAATTTTTTAACTATACGTGATTAAAATTTTTCAAATTGAAATATTCTATGAACGAAGTTAAAATACTTATTATGTATAATTTTATAAATTAAAATATTTAATAAAAATAAAAATTGATGTCTTATATATTTGGAGCATCTCTAATGCAACCATGGATTGTAGCTCATGTGTTTTAATAAATAGATGTTATGGATGATGATGTAACTGAATGTGTATTTGTAAATATTAGATTCTAAAAATGGTTCTCTAATGCACGAAAAAAAAAAAATCAGTTTGAGCGCAAAAATAAGTTTGAGCCCAAATAAAGGGGAAGGCATAAAATAAAATAAAAAATAAGAAAAAAAAATAAATTGGAAAAAAAGAACAAAAAATTGAGTCACGTTGTCTAACAGACCCTCTGAAATAGAGCGTGTGATAGACCGTGTCTCTTTTTTCTTTTTGACACATCAAGCTCACAGACTAAAGAGACAATAGCATTGGAGAAGGTTTTTGTTTTTAACTTTTAATTTTTCAATCATGGCGAATAAATTAACACAATCAACAGTTGTATTGGAGATGCTCTTAGCCTTATAATCAAAAAGTTTATATTTAAGTCAGATGTTGTATGATTGATCTTCTCACTTAGGTGAGAAATGAGAAATTTCGAGTTTGAATTTGAGTACTCCCAACCATTACCAATTTAATGAGCTAATGGAAGGACTATTCCTGTGATATATAACTTTTTAGCTAAAATTTACGCCGTGGGTATTCAATTAATTTCCATTTTCATATTTTAAATTATTCAATTTGAATTTAAATTGTAATTAAGAAACATGGAGTGAAATTAATTACCTCTCATACTTTTTTGGATTAATTATATTATGGCGTTCAAACCGTACAATTTGTTTATTTTGATGTCTCAATTGAAAGTATTTATAATTAAATGTTTAAATAAATTGCAAATACAATTCAACGGGAATTTCTCACGGAAAACTAAAATTAACTATTTTACTCAATTAATTTACTTTTTTCCCTCTAAGTTATTACATTTTTATATTTTTTTAATTGAAAGAAATTAGAAGAAATTTTTTGAGACCTTTTCAAGAAAGAACAAATATAAGACAAAAAAAAATTTAATGAAAAAATGAAAAAAGAGAGGTTAATTTATTGAATGTTTAAGGATAAATACTGAATTTTATACATTTTTATGTTTGCGTCAATTGAATAAAATACATTTTTTATTTAATTTATTTTTTAAGATTTATGATAAATAAAATATAAATAAAAAAATCATTTACAAATAGTCTAACTTATTAGAAAATATATTTAATTCTATATTATTAAACTCGAAAATTAATTATTTTATAATAAGATCCATCGTTTACTTTTTGTTTATTTAGAATTACTGCCATAGTTCAACTCTACAAATTTTATAATACTTATTAAATGATTAAAGTCAATAAAATAATACACGAGAGAATATATATATATATATATATCAATAAAATAATACAACGAGAGAATATATATATATATAATATATAACTAATTAAAAATTCTATATATATATATATATATAAAATTAAAAATTCTATACAAACAATTTTGTTTTTGTTGCTATGTTTTTTTAGTATTAGATAAGAGGGATTCAAATCTAGATTTAGGTCATAAATGCAATTGGTATTAGAGTATAGTATGCTTATTTGTTGCCATTCTAAAAATGAAATGTCATCTCTTAATTAAATAAGTCAAAATCTATTCTTAGCATTTGAATTCTTTTTTCATTATTTTGATTCGAAAGAGCTCCATTTAATTAAGATATACTTACAAATATGCCAATGTGTCAAATTTTAAAAGAGAAAAATCGTTCAAAGTCTTATTAAAACAGATTATTCCAAATAAGATTAATTAACTCTTATTTGCATTACTTTCTATACTACTGATTTACTTCGTTAAATTTTTTTTTTCAAGGTTAATTGGTTGTGGGCTATAGATATAACAGGTGGAAATTCACCAAATTGATGAAAATTTTGTGGTTGAAAGGTCTCAAATATGAGATTTCTCATTCTCTGCATAAATAAAAATATCAATCAAAACACACCTAATTGTTATATCGTTAACCTTTTTATTTATCTTTATAAAATTATTCACAAAAATAATAAGAACAATGTCATTTTTTTCTTTTTGGCATTCAATATTATATACGATGAATTTTTTTACACTCTGAACTATCGACAGCAGTTATAATAATTTCAAGACCGATCAGAGCCAGTATATAATCCATTAAAAAGCTCGTTAGGAGCGATACAACCCTCAGGATAGTGAATTACATGTTACATTAACCCAAATAATAAGAACAATGTTCCATCATTTACCGAATACGCACTTAAATGCTAGTTACCAGTACGCGTTCCCACATACATCCCCATGACCCCATTGGTGAGTTCATGTGCTCACATGGCGAATTAGGTAAAATCAGAATTTCTGGTTTGATCAGGCTTTCAAAACGGGTATCAAGTGTCACTTTAGAAATTCTTTTTATCTCCCTTTAATTATAATTTTAGAAAATTAAGAAAGGATTTTTTTTTTTTTTCAATTTTATCCTTTGTCTCTTGGTATCCCATCAAATAAATATTGAAAAGGGAAAAAATTTAAAAGAAAAGGATAATAGAGATTGAAAGAGAATCACAAAAATAGGGAAGAGAGGAGAATTAGGGCAGAGAAATTCAAATTTAGAAGAAAAAGACACATGGAAAGAGAGGAAAGAATCAAAGAATAGAATCAGGAATTTGAAAAAAAAAAAAGTGCAAAAATAATCCCTAGGATTGAACTGCTTTGATACCACTATTAGGATTTTTAAGGAAAAAAGATGGAAAGATACAAAAGAAAAGAGAGAGGGAATACTATTCTATTATTTCATTGTCTCATAAACAATAACCAAAATATATTATTTATACTAATGGGCTTGTATTCACAGTTACATCTAAATCCTAGTATCGCCTATTCAGCAAAATTAATTGTTTTTGTAGTTTTTATTTGCTTTAGCCTTGTTCAGCAGCAAGGCTTGAAGTAGTGAGTCAAAACACTATCTTAATTAATTATCGCATTCGGTAATACAGTATCTATTGTAGCGTTTAGAGTTTGAGACAATATTTCATGAAATGTTATCTTTATCAACGTTTAACGTTTTATAATTTTTTTTATGACACATATACCCATCACTTGTCTCTACCTTGTTCCTCATTTTCATACTCTTTTTTATCGTTTTTATTAAACAACTAATCCAACAATTATTTGTACGTTCACTTTTATTCTATTCAAACAACAGCTAACCATTAGTAAAACAGCTGGTAAAACAACTGACAACTAATAAAATAGTTAACAGCTACTATTAGAACAGTTAAAATCGCCGAATAGACCCTTAATAGCATTTAGCTGTTGTTAGCTATTTGAATAATTTTTCATAAAATGCTTAAAGCTAAATGTTACATGGACTAACTTTTTATAAAATCATATTTTAACCTCTAAAAGTTAGTTCAAACATTGTGTTATCAAATATTATAAAAATTTAGCAGTAGCTACTTCAAAAGTTATTGTCAAACACAAACTTAACCTATTTTTCCAACACAAGCATTAATTATTTAAAAAAAATTAAACAAAACAAGTAATTTAGTCAATTAAAGTTATTTTTTCTAAATTTTGATATTATTTAATATTTATAATTCTTATATAATTACTTCAATCGTGCTTGAAAAAGGATGGTTAATAATGTTTATTTGTAAGTCAGAAAGACTAGTTCAAAGTATAAGCAAATGAACTAGGATTATCAAAGTTAATGGCTGTAAATAAATCGCTGTAAAATAGAGTGTGCCTGCAAACGGACTTCACAAGTTCATTATTTCGTCAACTAAATTAAATCCATCAAAATGCATGTATTTCATATTTTGTATTTTGTTTCTTTTTAATAAATTTCTATTTTCTACTTAAAAGAAACTTGAATTAAATTCTAAATTTTCTCTCTATATTTTGGGCTCCAACTCTAATAATTGATTCAACCTAGCCCAAATCAACGGTACTAATTAATTGTCGGGCTTGGGCTCGCGTTGGTTAGAATGGACTTTGTTTGTTTACTTTCAAGTAGGCCTTAATATTGCCAGCTCACGCAAGAAACAAAGCTGGGAACAGCATATTCCCCAAGTGTCTTTTTTTTTTTTTTTTTTTTTTTTTTTTTTTTAAGCTGGGAACAGCATATTCCCCAAGTGTCTTTT